TCACGTATTTTTTGCCATGCTGTCTAGGCACATGTATTTAATATTTTGACATGTTATCATGCTTATTAACATGATAGGTAACTGGATTTTTAATAAAAAAATCAAGTTAGGATCAAAATGAAAAACAATAAAGATCAAATCAAAGATTTTTTAAGTTAAAAGACTTAATTAATGATTCATATAATAGTTGAGGGACCAACATGAAAGTTTAACCAAAAAATTATATTGACTAGTGATTAACCAATATGCAAGATCTGTAAACAAACCATCTAATTGTTGTAATAAGTACGTGGTGAATTACTTTATTAAGATAAATGTTTTTAATAGAAAATAACAAAATTCTTTTGAAAATAGGGAATGTGAAAATAACGAAATTCACACTAGAAATGGTTGTATTTCAATTGTTGGTCTGCTTTGCCACCTCAGTGCTCTAGGCGTCTGGTCAAAAACTTCAGGCCCACACGAAAGGCAAGTACTTTTAGCCAGAAACCTGCGAATACAACTAGGTACCTATTTGATTAGTAGTGGTGGCTAATTATTGATGAAACTTAAAAAAGCAAAATAAAATTGGCAATCTTTTTAGAGAAGTTCCTTTCATCCAGTTCAAAAAGAAAGTTCCTTTCATTTTTCTAATTGACAACCAGTAATCTTTGTTCCTGGTATTACATAGAGTACCTTAATTACATACGTACCTGGGAGAGATTGTCAACCTTGTCATTCTTACGGCCCCCTTGGCAAGTAGCAACAAAATGGTCCTTGCACTCAGAAAGTAGCTTTGACAAATTCCCATGAGTGGAGAGCTTGGCCATAGCAATACAGTTCCTTCGGCCTCTAGATTTTAAGAGTCGGTGAACAGTTTCTCTTGCATCTATATTGCCACGAAAGATAATTAACCATGTCAAATGCAACTATAGATTACATTATTTACTATTGACAACAGAATTGCATACAGCAAATATAGTATAAGTTAAGAAAATATTTGTGCATGGTAATTTGATGAAAATAACTTACAATAGAGACAGAAAATCGTTCAGCAGCCATTGGGGGGTAGCTAGTAACAATCATGCTCCTTCAATATAAAACCAAAGAATGAAATGTCAATAATGATACGACCACAGTACTTACACAGCTAAATCCTCAACAAGGATGGATGTCTGCTTAATAGCTATCATTGCCTTGGGAATCCCACATGGTTAATGCCACAAATTACCAGATATTAATGATCATTTATAAAGAAATACTGTGGTGAAAAAATGGAGTTGAGGTTCGAAGTGAAATATACCTTTCTGCAAGAAGGACACAAAATTTTTTAGGTTAGATATAGAACATATATGGTCCAAGGTGGGTAGAACTAAGCACCTCCGAAAACACAATGCTCAAATTTTCAAGCATAAGCCCCCATTCAGTTCAAATCAAATGCAATTCCATATATAACAAACATGACTTGGATAAGATCTAGAAAGCATACCAGAATCATCACCTTTTGCTTAGTGAAGCTGCTTTCTCCCCATTCCTCTGCTATTGCTTGCTTAACGGATAAGGATCTATTAGGCATCTCTAACTTTTACAGCCAATGACATAAAAACATACACTAACATAAACATATCTACAAACACATGCAACAGATATCTTAGCCGAATCATCATTTACATTGCAGTTCTCTCATAGAAATTATGACAAACCGTGGTACAAATTAACAGTGTATCCTAAGCATAACATAAGTCCGAGAAATACAATGTTACAAATAAAGGAGGAGCAGAAGATTGAAGACATATCCTATTTTCCTAGTAAAAGTCCTCGAAGGGGAGTGTACGTCAGACAATCTCAGGTACTTAAGAACTTGAAGAATTCATGCCTGCAATGATAAAATGCATTCCAACATCATGTATGTATCAAGTCTATGGTTCACAAGAACATTTCTTTGCAATGCTAAACGATCTAATGCTGATCTAAGGACAAATTTAAAGATGGAGAATGTAATGGGGAGAAATGGTAAATTTATTAAAGTAAACTGATCTCTAACAACAATCTAACATTGTTAAAAGAACAGATCAAACAAAGAAAGGAATGTAACAGATTTCACACTAAAATTCATGGATTAATTGATCTATTCACTCACGTCACGATCAATGTAGTGAAATCAATATAGTCTACTCAGAAGTCAGAAACCAGCATAATAATACAGAGCTAATCCCCCCTAGATCAAAATCCTCATTTTAAGGAAAAGCAACAATTTACACTTTAAAATGTTTGGGGCTTATTGAGTCTAGTCTAGACGAAATTTAAAATTCTTCGACTTCTGAAATTTAGAATTGTTTCATAACATTAAATTTTATTGTTCCCTAGCTTCACAAAATAATAAAAACTTGATCCATGAAATGAAGAGTGAATTGTTTTTAGGGAATTTATAAAGAAATGATGTAGCAAAAGCGCAACACTGAAGATGCCTCATGATATTATGAGGGAAGAAATGAGTATTGGTAATTCATAAAGAATTGCAGTTGGGATTTGAGAATGAGACTTACCTCTTCTTAGGAATGGATAATCTCTCACCATAAATAGATGTATGGAATGTGAGAAATTTTGGGCCACTCAGCACCGGTTTCCTTGGCGCAACTTTCCATTAACCCAGGGCAATCTCTAATTCTGAGCCTTTTCAATTTGGTGAGGCGACGAACGGCTTCTGCAGAAGGCAAACATTTCAAATTCTGGCAACTCATAATCTCGAGACTCTCAAGAGAGGATAAGTTTCCTAGCCACTCCGGTAAAGCATCCAATTTCCTAAATTCCCAAATTTGCAATTCCCTCAAAGCAGTGAGATGTTGAATTTGATGTGGAAGCTGAGTTAGTTTATCCCAGTCAAACAAACTCAACTTTTCGAGGGAGGCGTGGATGTGGTGAATGCAATTGAAATTCAGGGATTCTTCCAGCTCTAGCTCTTTTAAGAAACCACCAATACACAATTCCTTCAAGCCGGGAAGGCATGTGGCTCTAAGACTTTGCAACTTAGGACAATCCAATATTTTTATTTGTTCAAGGGAAAATTTTTCAAATGCTCCATCAACAACACTAGTTAATTCACTACAATAACAAATTGTAAGCTGCTTAAGAGATGAAAGCCCGCTGATCACTAGAATGCCATTTAACTTTCTGCAACTTCGAATACTCAGCTTCACCAAATTGAAATTGTTGGGCGAGAACAATTCATTGCTACTCAACATCCACGATGGCAAGTTCTCACCTCCATAATTATCAATTACCAATCTTTGTAAATTCGAGTGAGGTTGGAGGCCTTCCAAAACTTCTTCGTCATGATTGCTTTCTAATTCTAATTCCCTCCTACTATCCCACAGTAATCTCAACTCGTCAATTGCCTTCTCATATAATTTTGCTCCCTCTGCTTCTGATTTGTCTTTAACAAGCTCAAGATTCAAGATTTCCAATCCTCCCTTGAGTCTGCTTAAACTGCCCAATTCTTCAATTTTACAGCCCTTCCTTGTTCCCACATAGAAGGATGGCAACGTTTGAAGACTAGTTAGCCTCCCAATGTTTGCAGGCATGCGCTCCACATCACTGAACCGAATATGCCTCAAGTTGATTAAATAGCCAATTCCTTTTAAAGGCATTTTCAGATATTCGCAATCCATGAATCTAAATGCTTGCAAATTATACAACTTGCTAATGGCTTTAGGTAGCTCTTTTATTTTAGTTTCTGAAATGTCCAAGAACCTCAAACTCTTCATGTTATCAAAACAAAATGGTAATTCTTCAATATCGGCACCATAGAGATTGAGAACTCGTAGCCTTTTAAGATCTACTTGTATGCCACTGGGAAAACCATGCTTTAAAAATAAAGTGTGCAGGTTTTGAGCAACATCTCTTAAAATTGTAGGCACCATTTCCCCACCATAAATGATATTCAAATGTCGAACATCATTAGAAACATTGTGTTTAGAAATAGTTTCCAAAATCATTGTTTCATGTTTTGAAATAGATTGAGCAAGATCATGAATTAAATCATGCATTTTGCATGTACTAACATCCCCATTATATGTTTCCTCAGCTTGAAATAGAGAATATGATAACAAGTCATTGAAATACTCATTACCAATATCCTCCATTGACTTGCAACTTCCTTCAGGTGACTGAATAATTCCTTCAGCCATCCAAAGTTCAATTAGTATCTCTTTCTCCATAACATAATCCTTAGGAAAAATTGAACAGAATGCAAAACATTGTTTTAAAGCTGATTCTGGTAATCTATCAAAACTTAATCGTAAGATAGATAAGATTCTACATTCCCCCTCTGGTAATTCCCATGCATTCATGTTTTTAATTGACAACCAATAATCTTTACTCATGTTATTCTGCAAAGTTCCCCCAATAACATTTGCAACTAAAGGCACACCTCTACATTTTTTAGCAATCTCGTTTGCAATTACTTCCAAGCCCAAATGTGAAGGTATTGGAGAGTCCCCAAATGCCCTTTGCTTGATTATAGACAAACATTCATCATCCTCTAGCTCCTTGAGATGATGCTTGTGGTTAGCAATTGATGCTACCCTTTCTTCTCTAGTAGTCACAACAATCCGACTTCTTGAATTTTTACCCATTCCTAGCAAACTCCTCCTTAATTCTTCCCACTTTTGGCTTTCCAAGTCCCACACATCATCTAATATGAGAAGATAGTTTTTTCCGGCCAACTCATTTTGTATGTTTTGAATAACAGTATCCACATTTATAATATTTCCACAAGCACGTCCAGTCACAGACTCTAATATCTCTTTTAAAATTCTCTCCACATCAAAGTTTTCAGACACACAAACCCATATTATTTTAGCAAAATCTTTTTTGATATGCTCATTGTTGCGCACAGATTGTGCTAAAGTGGTTTTACCAAGACCCCCCATACCTACAATAGATAAGACCCAAAGGGGTAGTTGATTAGTAGAGTCTGTTAGCAACTCCACTATTCTGGAGACATCACCATCCCTCCCTACAACTTGTGACACATCACAAAAAGAGTGAGTTTGTAGGTTTCTTCTTCTATGTTCTAGATCCAGGACAACAGGTATGGTTTGAAGTCCAAACCCTTGCGCCTCCTTGTTAATATCATCCACAGAAGCAACAATTTTTTCAATCTTCTTAGCCATCTTCATCCGAGATATAAAAGGATTGGAGAGGGAAAAGAAGTAACACACCTTTCTCTTCATATGGTTTTGAATTTCTATTTTGCGCTTCAAATTTTCATAGGCAACCTCGTCCAGCACGTCGTCAGCATCACTAGCCGCATCTCTCAGCCTCTCCAGCCACAGCTTGACAGCGGGTTGTGTGACCTGCCTTTCTCCTGCATCTTGCAACAAAGCTTGGATCATGATTAGTCTGTTCTTGAGCCTTCTAAGCTCCTCCTTCCAGCTCACAACAAGGTTGATTTGATCGGCAATGGCCGAAATCAGCTTCTTTATTGTGGCATCTACCATGGGAGTGAGAACAAGGTCAGCCATTTGTGCAAGGCTTGGTTGTGGGAGAGAAGATATGCTTATCGAAGAGTTTGTATGCAAATCAAGAGAGAGAACAATGTTCTGATGCATAAATATAATTGTTATTTGTAAAAGAGAGAGAAGAATAATTTTCTTTTGTAAAGTAACAATGTTCTTTTTCTCTGGAAAAAGAGAAGAATAATGAGGGGATAGTTTGGTAAAATTAAAAAAATACTTGTTTTGTTTTAGTTAAAGAGTTATGCCTTAATTAGTTGTTAAGGTGGTGAGATAGTTTATTTTTTATTTTATTAGTTAAAATTTAATTTCATAAATCAAATTAATGAGAAGATAATCTTTTATAAATTACTTTATTTTTACTTATTGGATCAAAAAGAGATTAGTTTCCAATTTTGTATAAACTAATTAAGCACACTTTAACCACTAAGCTTAAAATAAAAATAAAAATAAAAATAACATTTTTTTAAACAAATTCTTTTTTTTTTTTATGTTCAAATAATATAATTTTCTTTTAAATATGAAATGTTTTTAAAATTTTACCAAAACACATTCCATGTCCTTCTTTGTTATGAAAGAAAAGAAAAGAATAATGTCCTGTCTTCTTCTCTTTTTTTTTAGCAGGCAAGGTATTCCTAAATTGATTTGCAAGTATCTTAAAATTAATTTCTTTATGAATTAATTAAAAGTTAATCATTCACACCTAAATTAAAAAACTTATAAGAAATTATTATTTTATTATCCATGGATTTATGATTTCCTTAAGTTAGATTTTCTTTCCTTAAAAGTCACAGCATGCACTTTTTAATTCCTCATTCAAGATATGCATTCTTTGGTCCTACTTAAGTTAGCTTTTAATTAGCCTGTGTATTATAGTTATATCTAGTTAAGCTCGGATAAAAGTCTTAAACTACTGTTAATGCATTGCTTACTTAGGTTCCTTCCTTATGCTACATTTAATTTGAAGCTGATCATAGAATATCCGAAAGAAAAAAACAAAACAACAGACCATAAAGAGGGGATAAAAAGACCAAGAGCAAATGCAAAAATATAAAATAAAATAAAATACATGGCAGTGCACCCAAATAAAGAACAAAGCCGAAGATGAACCATGGCGGTACTCCTAGCATTTCGGCCAATTTCCGTGTACTTCCATTCAATGTGATGGAATGGAATTACTTAACCTTAACACAATAAATAATTTTAAAATGAACATCTGCGGGGATAGCTCAGTTGGGAGAGCGTCAGACTGAAGATCTGAAGGTCGCGTGTTCGATCCACGCTCACCGCATTTGTTTTTTCAAAATTAATTTTCAAGTTTTTCAATTTTATTTTTGGCGTTTTGGTAATTTAGTTTGGCACATTTAAATAGGCCCCAGTGAACTCCATTGTTAACTTTTTTTTTTTTTTTTTTTATAAGGGCAATGGTTAATAGATTAAAATTGTTAGAGTTAATAATTACGGATTCGATCTCAGATCAAATGAACAAGCCATCAACCTTAAAGAGCCATGCAATTATCAGATCGTTTGATGGAATTACCATTGTTAACTAGATTTAGAGCAGATGGATTGATTACTATAGAATAGGCCTACTAAAAACTAAAAAGGTTATTATAATTTGTAAAATAGAAAAGTAGGCTCACCAGGGACCTTCATTAATAAATTTAAAGGCTTTTATAATTGAGGGTACATATTAAAAATATTTTTTTATTATAAATTTATATAAGAAATATAAACATAATAATTAATTTTAGTGTTATAAATATGTAGATGAATTTAATAAAATAATTAATAAATTAAAAATTAATTTTTATTTTTAATATAAATTTATAATAAAATATATATTTATTATATTTTTAATTTAAAAAAAAAACTCATAAATTTAATATAAACAAAACTTCATCAATCAAACACAATAAATTGTCCTGCACCATAGCCACCGGTCCGCTTGGTAATAGTGCACCCTAGCCGGTTCAAGATTTTGGTTCCTTCCCCAACCCACAAATTGTTTTAAGTTCACACAAAAAATAATAATAAATTTTATTGTAGAAACAAAAATGAATCTTGGCCATTTTCAATTATTAATATGCCTTGATTTTTAAAATTTTTTAATTTAATTATTACACAGTTATTTTTTTTTTTTTTAAGGAACGAAGAGAGTATATATATTTTTTTCTCATCTACCACTACCATCTGAAGACTTGAAGTCACTCGGGAGACAAACTTTCAGACAAAAATTTAGAGTAAAATCATATGTTAAATTTTTAAACTAAATCCAAATTTATTATTGAGTTTCAAAGTTTAATTGATATATATAAATTTTAAAACTTTGTTATTTGAGTAATTTAACTCTTATTTTTACAATAATGTAATCCTTATTCTTACTATAGTTGAAAAATTAAAGATTAGATTATTCAAATTATGAAATTCAAGGATTTATATGTATCAATTAAAGTTTAGATATTAATAACAAATCTGAAATTCAGGGCTTAACATGTGATTTTGTAAAAGTTTTATCAACGCAAGAAAAAATAGAAGTCGCCAGTTTAGCAAATGAACGCAATCTGAACAATC